AAAGTATGATTCAGTCTATAAGTAACGCCCTGTCTCCTGGGCCTGACCGCTCTAAGCTGGTCGCACCCTGTCTGACGGGGCTCATTTTTGACTAGTCCACGTCCGAAGGTTCCTAGACCTAGAACCTCCTGGACTAGGTCTGCCTGGCTCGGGGTCTGTCATCCTGGGCTCCAGTCCCTTGGTATAGAGGTAACGAGGCAGGTCATTGGTCTGCTCTCTGCTCAGTCTCCCACCACAGCCCCTCTCGCAGTACAGGCGCTAGATGGGCTTCTCCCTGCGGCCCCAGCGCCCGCTCAACGGCGGGCACACAGTAAAAGCAGTTCCATAGTTATTTGTCAGAGGATGAGTCTCGGCTTTCTTTCCTCAGCGAGGATGGCGTGGTTGGAAAGCAGGGCCAGAGCACAGGTGCCTGCGCAAAGCAAGGAGGGCGGTTGCGCGAGGCGAGTCACGCCACCCAGCCAGAGGCGCCAATCCGTTTTAGTCAGTGCCGGGACTTGCCGAGAGCTCGTTTATGCAAATGATGTGGGCGGGGAGAAGCCGGCTCCACCCGGAAGCTGGCTGCGAAGCCTCAGCGGCAGGGTCTTACCTGCTGTGTAGAGGGTCTTCAGGCCCAGAGAGGGACTGCCGACCGCCCCAAGCCACACAGAGAGGCAGGGAAGGGCCAGTGCTAGGTAGGACCTGAAGCAGCAGGGAAACTTCATTTCAACTCAAAGAAACCTATGAGAAAAACCGCCGAATAGCGGCCCTGAACTTAGTAGCCTCCCGCTGCGGGCCAGTCTGCAGGACCGTTTCCCGCCTTTGTCATGGCCATACCTGCTGCTGCACTAGAACCTCCGAATCAGTTCTCAAGGTCCTGGCAGACTTGCATTCGTTTTCGGACACTGTTTTGGAATTTGCTGTGAGGCCAGCTGTGAGGCATCGGGACTGGTTCTCAGGCCCCAGCTGTCCCCTCCAGTTGGTATAAGTGGAGAGTGCGACCGAGGGAGTGATCACTCTTCCGCTGCCAGGATAACTAGAGCTGTTTGGAGCTAACTGGGAAATGCAGATATCAGCTGTCTCCATGTGTTCCCTTGATGAAGAGCAGAGAAATCAGAGGTGAATAGTATTGTGCCATCAGAGAAGGCCTGTGGGCAACGTGGCTGTAGCACGTGTATGATAGGAAAGATGCACAAGAGGACACTCTTTAAAAGCTCTCTTCATTTTTAAACTTCTTATTTTGAAATACTGTTTTGAAACTTATAGAGGAAGAGGGTACAGAGAACTTCAGTAAATACAACACTCATATTTGATTATTGTTAATATTTTGCCAAGTTTTTACTATTCTCTGCTTCCTCTGCTTTCTCTCTCTCTAATTATTGTCATTATAGTGTTTGAACCATTTGTAAATAAGTCGTGTATTTCTTACCCACAAAGGGTCTTTGTGAAAGAGCCAGGCCTCTGAGCATTGCTGGCAGCCACCCCCGCAGTGGGTAATCAGCCTTTGCAAGTGAGAAGGAAAAGCCGGGCTGGGCTAACAAGATAACTCATAAATCTAAGTGTAATAAGTGTCAGTTTACTGATCTAAGTTCTGCTGGGCTAACTTGTAAATCTGAAGTTTAGTGTCAGCTTACTGGGCTAACAAGCTAAATCATAAATCCAAGCTCAACAAGTGTCAGTAACATGATCTGTTCCTAATAGATAAGTTCCAGTGTACTGATTCCTTGGTTTTGCTGTTCAAGCCTTATTGGCTAATAGTCCCATATTTGTAATTAACCCTATAAAACCCCATGCACACGTCTTGGAGGTGCTCAGAGCTTCGGAGCAGAAGCCCCTCTGAGCCCAACGGCGTAATAAATCTGAGTACTCCAACCCTCTGAATGGTGCTTGTTTCTTGGCTGGCCTGTCGTTTCTGTAACACAAAGTGGAGAAACTTAGGATGGATAGGTGCTTCTCCTCAACGTAAGGCAATTTCCACGTTAAATGCAGCTACAGACCCCATGATCACTTCTTTCTAATTATTACATCTTTATTTCCACAGGTTTTTTAGTTTTTGCAGTAACAGCTTAACATTTTTTTTTTCCTTCGGAGTTGCGCTGCTCCGAAAGAGACACAGATCTCAGGTGCATGTCACCTCCTCCACTTGAGTGACAAGGCTGTACCTACCCACCAAGCCAGCATCTAGAGGGGAAGCTGATGCATGGGGTAAGGGATGTGGGTGAGGGCAAGATGGATGTGGAAGAATATCAATGATCCAAATCAGGGCCACTGTAAGGGAAACCACAAGATCACACAGGCTGGCAGTAGGTCAGAGAAGGCAGGGCCGATGGACCCCGCAAAGGGAGAAACAAGAAAGAAGGGGTGATGGGTCCCAAGGAAGTCCAAAACCTACGGGCAAACAATATTAAAACTTAAGACTGGAGAATAATCATCTTTGGCTGGATGCTCAGCCCCAGTCTCTGTGGGAAGATACGGGAGCATCCCTGAGGCACTGGGAGGCATCCTGGCCCCTTGAACCAGAGAGCCAGTTGCACCCTTTGAAACTGTTTTGTCCCTGGGCTGCGTGCTCTGGGCCACGGTGGGAGTGGCAGCCCCAGTGATCTCTGAATAGCCTTCAGGGTCATTCTTCCATGGATCCTTGTTCTGAAGAATAATGCCTGGTTTCTGCTGAGATGACTAATCCATACAATTCTCCTGATCAGATGGTTGCTTGGCCGCACCATTAGTATTCTCACTTTTTTCAATATGCATAGGCTGAAGAACTTTTAGTTCTGCTCTTTTTGTGCTTAGCAATTCACCTTTAAGTCATTTCTCTCTTCTCACATTTTCAGAAGCCGAGCCCAAATTCTGTTTAGATTTTTCATTATTTGGGCACCCAAAATCTCCTTCTTTGTCTTGCCAATTCCTTACACATTTATTGTTTCTTTCTCTAAAAAGTACAAAAGCCACCTGTTTTGGCCACTTCTTCGGTCTCATTTCTATGGGATCTCCATGCACGTGAATTACATTTTGTTTCTTTCTCTCCTATTAATCTGTCTTGTGTCAATTTTATTAGTGCAGCCACTGGAACTCAAGATGGATAGAGGGGGAATTTCCACTCCCGGACATCTGCCATGTGGGAGATAGAGGTGAGTTAAGAGGTTTGTGCAAGCCCTAGCCCCACTCCTACTCCACATGCCACCTTTAGAGGTTTCTTGGAGAATCTGGCTGGGAAACCCTGATTCCTTTGATCTCTGTTTGTCTAAGGGAATGTTAAGGTGGGAGATTGATGTGGATTTGCAAGTGGGAGAGGGGGTGAAAAAAGAAAAGTGAAGGGGTTGAGGTGGGTAGGGTGTATTCATGAAACGATGGTGACCTTTAAGGTCTGAGCTCTCCCATCAGTTCTGCTGTAGATAATGCAGTTTATCTCTTTTGTTGTTTGGAAGTTCTCCTTAGAGTCTAACTGAAGGTCAGACAGTCATGGTCTTGAGTTGGGGAATGAATGTCAATTGGATCCACTCCACCAGAACCTCAGGCCTCCTTTATTTGATTTCCACCAGCAACTGTACACCTTTTAATATCTGAACTACTCTCTCTTATACTAGAAGGTAAAAGGAGGGGAGCAGATGAGAACCTGGCATTGTAAACACTGACTTCTCTTGGTGCTACAGAAAGCCATTTAGCATGGCTGCACCGAGAGCCTAACCTTATCAACCTCTGGCCTCGGGTAAGGGCAACATGCAGCCTGCGTGGGGTAAATAGATCTGCCCGCCCCGTCATGGCGTTAGGTGCAGGGCAGTGGCGCACCCTAGTTAGTAACCCCAAAGCTCTCGAAGTTAGGTTAAACTTTCATCTAAGGTGGGGTGGCCAGCTTCCAACTGTTGGGAAGCTCCGAGCAATAGGCACCACGGGAACTGTCCCTGAACAGCCAGCTGCTTTTGGAGCCCTCAGCTGTCCTGGCGCGGGCCTTGCTTTCATGGAAAGACACTCCTGCTCATTCCGTTACCTGCTTTAGCCCCGTGCTCTTTCCCGCCAGTTGGTGATGTCTGAGGTGCAGGCCATGCCTGGACTTACTCTTCCCTTTGCGGCAAGACAGTCTTGCCCCCCACACAAGGTTTGGTGTGAGCGGTGCTCCAGTCCAGCTCTCCCGCCCACTATACCAGGGCCAATCTCGACCTGGCGCGCCCTCTGGCGGTGATGAGCGCCAGGCCTCGGACTCCTTGCGCGTCTCTAGGCTTCGGCGTTGGCGCCGGGCTCAGCCTCCCTGGAATGCGCTTTGACAGCGATTGCCAGACAGCAGAGCTCTGAAAACCATTCTGCCTCGATTATTACCTCAACTGTCTCCAGGTCCAGTCCTGAGCCTCAGGCTGACTGTGAGAAGGCATGAGACAGCCTTAGATAGCCCGTAGGTGGTCATGATAGGGCTGCAGGGAGAGCCAGGTCCCATCAATACAGACATCTAGTTGCTGGACCTGGAGTCATACCTGTCTTTCTTCTCTGAATTAGCCACAGGCCAGAAGAGCTGTACTGGGCTTCCTTCACTTCTTGGTGTTGCCTAACCTAATCGCCATCACAGCTGAGCCACCGCCACCTCCTTTCCTGGTCATTGAAGCAGGAGGGATGTGGCTGCCCATGGAAGTTGGGGGTCACTGGTAGCAAAGGGAGGGGTATCTTTACTGAGTGGAATGTGCATGAGGAATTCCAGGAATTTTCTTTTTTCTGGAGTCACCATCTCTGGACCCAAAGGTAGAAAACTCAGCATGGTTTGGATGTGGAGTGGGGTCAGGTTGAGCCCCTGAAAATTGAGATTCTCCATGGCCTCAGCCTCCAAGTACAACTCCAAGGAAAAATATGGGGTGGGGAATGGTGATGCCCATAGTGGGTGAATTTGTATCAGTACCAGACAGGGCACAGGATTCAAGTGTGGCCTAAACAAGTCACTGACCTCTGGCCTTCCCAGTTAAGCACTGACTTTCTGGAATATTTCTGGTTTAAACCAGCAGTGGTCACAACTGTTAAGGAATATAAGGAGTGCTGCAGATTACTGAGTCAGTGTGGACATGTCTTGGGTTTTGGGCTTATTTCTAGTTAGAGGCTGGAGGCAGGGGCAGCTGCATGCTGGGCAGCCAGAGGGACGCATGACACTTCAGCACTGATGACTGGACAGCATCCTTAAGGCTAACAAAGCCAAGGGAGGGATAGTTCCTCAAGCCCAACCCTAGCATGGCCCAACCCTAGTGTATTCCTTCTGGAGGGACCTGAGCTCCAGGACCCTGGCCTCAAGGGACTTGGGACCTGGCACCTGTGCTCATGGGGTCAGGACCAGAGCTCCTGGAGAGTTACAGACTCATTCTAGACATGACATAAATAACCTTTGTAGCACTTCAGATCACAGACCTTTTTACAGTCTCCTCTCTGCCTCACAACAGCTCAGGAAAGTAGGCCTGAACATCCACTCTAATAGATGAGGAAGCTCAGAGAGGGTAGCCAATCTCTCCAAGTCACACAGCCAGGGAGAGGTTTGAGTTAAGACTCAAATGGCTGCCTTGGTTGTAGCCAGTTTATCCCAGCAGACGTAACAGTAGTCGGGGGGCCTTAGTGAGATACTGAGGGCTAATGGGCCAACACTAAGGGGGAGGTCCTTGGAGGTGAGGGTGACTTATGGCCCTCAGAGGGCACTGCACATGTGAGGTTGGAGCTCTGGTTAGGCTGGGCATGCTCAAGGCTTTGAGGAGGAGCAGGGCTCCCAATATAATGTGACTTTGTGTATTCCTAAAGCCTGAGGTGGCATTCAAGGCCCATCACATTTCACCTATCTGGACCAGGATTGCCACCTTTGGGCCAGAGGTCACTCATCTGTTCCCCGGGCCAGTCTGTCTACTCAAGGCTGGGACTAGGATGAGGGTAGTGCAGAGCCTTGGGTGCAAAATTTAAGAAGGCACTCACTCTAGGGTGAGTAATTGCAGGCTATCACCTGTACAAATCTAAGACTGAGTCTCCCTCCCACCTCTTCTTCCTGCCTTCACTCTAAGCCTTAAACTCCCAGAAGGCAGATACCACACCTACTAATCCCCAGGTATCCCCAGCCCAGTGTCTGGGCAGTGCAGTGCTCACAGTTGGAGCTCCATAAACATTTGTCAGCGGCCAGGCCTCTTCCTTTCCTGTGAGAAAAATGGTCTAGGGTGGGAAGGGCATATGAGTGTCACATGATCTAATCAAGCCCGGTTTGGCCAAGGTCTGGACTTCGCCTAAAGATAAATGAGATGTGCGAGGAGAACCCAGTGCCTGTGCAAGACTGAGAAAGTGCAAGCCAGAAGATAAAGGACATTTATCTTTTTACGTATATGTGGGCAACAGAGCTGGAGAGTGACAATAACTTGCTCCAAGTCACACGGCCGCGTAGGGGCAGTGATGGATAAGTCCTTCGACAACGTGACCTAATCAAGGAAGCCTCTGATAACGGCGGCTGGATGCACATCGAGTGCATCGACGTTCTACTTCTCAGGCCTGGGGAAACGAGCAGGATCAATCCATTGCTTTGGCCTGCCAGTAAGTGCTGCGCGCTGATTGGTCCTGGTTAAGGAAACGGAGGAATAAGCGTGCAGGTGGGCCCCGCGGCGAGAGGCCGGCGCACCGGGCAGGGGAAAGACCATGGCGTCGCTTAGTTGCAGCACCGTCGTCTGCGTGATCTGCTTGGAGAAGCCGAAGTACCGCTGCCCCGCTTGCCACGTGCCCTAGTGAGTGCCGGGGGTCGTTGAGGGCAGGGGGACGGGCGGCGGGAGGGTCCGCGCGGCCTGCGGGACTGACGGCGGCCTGTGGCTTTTGTTGTTCTAGCTGCTCCGTGGCCTGCTTCCGGAAGCACAAAGGTGAGGGCCCCTCCTTGTGCGCGGCAGCCCCGATGTCCGCCGCTGTCTCGGGGGCTTGGACGGTTCAGGCCGCTCTCCTGTTGCGTCCGATCCTTGGGGAGCCCTAGGTTTGGGGGCGGGGGGAGTCCTTTACCTGGGAGTGGCTCTCGGCGTCTTGAACAATCTAAAACCTTTTCTCCGCCCTGCTCTCCCTTCTACATCTTTTTCTTTAAGAGTAGCCGACTGCTTTCGCCGCAGGAGTCTGTCCTAGCTGTTCCTTCCTCTTAGTGTTCTGACGCAGCTCGGCACCGTTTGGAAGAAGCTATGTTGGCTGAGGTTAACATTGTTTTTCTTTTGAATAGTAGCTTGATAGAAACGTTGAGGTAGACCTGTTTACAATAAGGAGCAACGCTGTTGGCTATTAATACTGTCAAGTCTACATTTTACGCCTTTCTAATCCGGCGTCTGTTTTCAATCCTCAACGACCCTGTCCCACTACCTCTCTCGGTGGCTTATGTTATAGTTCCTCATTGGTGGTTTTTCTACAGTTTCAAGAACACACCACCTCCCGTCGCCACCCCCCCACCCCCCGCTGGCGACTTTTTTTTTAACCTTAATATTTCTGGAGCATTAAAAAAAAACTTTTCAGCTCAAGACAGGGAAGAAGTAGAACTGCTTTGCTGGAAATAGGGTTGGGGAGCTGGGTCTGGAACGCTTAGCTCTGATCCTGCAGCCCCTCCAAGAACCCCTAGGGCAGTCAAAAGCTCAACTAACGTCGTGGCCTTGCTGCTGCCTGGGTGATTTTTTTCTGAAATACAAATTTGAGCAGTTCACCTCCTTGTTGAAAAGTCTAGTTTCTCTGTCAGGGATTCTTAATCTGGGTTTTGCTCTCCCTATGGAGACACGTGGTCACAATAGTAGGGAGGAGTTGGTGGTACTTCTGGTATTGGTATTGACTCACATAAACAGCCTTTATTTATTATTTAGTTGATATTGACTCACAAACATTTGAGGTTATCCTATGCCTCTAAAGACCTTTCTGCCCTCAGCACAGCACTCTTGCTGAGAGATGCTGGTCTGGGGAAGAAAGGCAGACCTGTGTGTGGCATTCTTTTGCTTGGCTTCCCTCCTCTTGTGACCCAGCCACCTGCCAGGCAAGGGGCAAGCCTCATGAGTTGGCAGTCGCTCATTACCATCTCCTTGTACCTGACTATTCTTTCAAGGGTCAAGACCAACCGGAGACCTTTCTCTCTGCCCAGAACGCTCTTTTCACCTGGCAGCACCTTCCCCTTTTATCTCCTGGCCCTCTCAGGTGACTTATATCAGACTTTTCCCATCTAGTCCATGTCTTAAACCCCTCCGAGGTGGGCCTGATGACTTTCATCTGTGTATTCCCCTTAGCACATGGTACATGCAAATTTGATACTGAAACTGCTGAGAACATAGTTTCATGCTAATTGAAGTCGGTGTGCTACCAAACCATGGTGAAAGCTCTGTGCAGTTAGGCAGGGCAAGGAGTGTTACCAAGTCCAATCTTGTACCGCTCGCTGAATGACAGGCTAACAAATTGAGTTGTTGGGGCAAGGAATAGTGACTTTATTCAGAAAGCCAGCTAACTGAGAAGATGGTTGATTAGTGTCCCAAAGAAGCATCTTATCTGAGTTAGAATTCAGGCTTCTTTTATACTAAAGTAGGTTGGTTGCCACAAACTTCTTGGTATTGGAATCTTTGTTCTTGCAGCTGTCCACATAGGTCAGGTGGCGGTGTTCCTGTAAACCTCCAACAAGACAAATGTTATTCTCTATTCTGCAACTTTTTATCTCTATATGAAGGGAAAAGTGTTACACTTTTAAAGGTCGCAGCCTTGAGAATGGGCTGTCCTGTATATTTTAGGCTATAGGCAACATTCTTAACTTGTAGCAAAAGCAATAGAATACAAAGGTTAAAGAAAAGGAAACAGATCTAACAGTGGAGTCAGACATGTTCTTCCCTATTACAGGAGGATGGGGACAGGCGGTAGGGGTGCACGAGGCCTGCTTCCTCGGCCCTTCTGCCAGGCTCAGGCTTGCTTGTTTTCTTCTACTGCCTCTTGATTGGATCTCTCACTTTCTCTGTCCCCACCCACTTCTCTTACCCCGTACATATGTTTCCTCCCCAGATGCTGGCTTGTAGGGGAGGTGCAGCCCTGTCACTCAAATGGAGGTGATGTGCACCTGTGATTTGTGTCTCTCTTTCAGAGCAGTGCAACCCTGAAACACATCCTGTTCAGAAAAAAATACCAGCTCTTACTGCAAAAACTAAAAAGCCCGTGGAAGACAAAGGTGGGTTGGGTTGACACCAAATAAACCAATCTGGAAAAGGGTTTTCAAATAGAACACATTGAAAGAAAAGAGGAGAGGAGGCTTGGATTGGGGCTGGGAGTCAAGAACGGTGGCTTCATTGGGGAGCAGCAGCTCCCTCAGCCCTGGGCATGGCAGGTGGGGGCACGTGTCATCCTGTTATACTACAGAGCAGCCCGAAGGTGCAGGTGGTGAAGAGCGGGGGTAGGAGGCAGAGGGGAGAAAGGCCATAGCTGTGGCTAGGAGTGAAGGGTGGACCCTGCTGGCAGGGAGCCTTTCTAGTCACGGCTTCAGGTAGCCCTCCCTGGGCCTGTCACCTGAGCTGGGTCCAGCGGGGAGGCTGCCTTTGGCCTTGCTGCTGCTGGCAGCTCTTCACAGCTTATAGCAGGAATGGGCTGCCATCCTTTCCATCCATCTAGCCTTTCAGTAGTGCCTCCTGGGTGTCATGCACTGGGCCAGGCTCTGAAAGCAGCCCTTCCTGATGCCACCAAAGAGGTGTTGAATATTCACAGTCGGGGGATGGCCCGCTTCTGCCCTTTGATAAACTTCCTTGTTGGATTCAGGCATGGCCAGAAATTTCTGCCCATGCTGAAAACCCAGGGGACTCATGTCAGCAGGCTTTTACAGAGCACCTAGTTTTTTGGCTCATGACAGGGCTGGAGCTGTTGAATAGGGAGGGGACGTGGGGTGGTAGGAATTGGAAAATTGGGCTCTAAGTCCAAGGACCAAATGCACAGAGTAAGCGTGTGAACACTGGGGTGCATTTGTTAAAGTCACCAATTCTTTCACTCTCCTAGAGAAGTCACGGATTCCAGAGAAGGAATAGGTTACTTTTGTATCCTTATGGGCACCTGCCTGCTCTGTCCCCTGTGTGGACGTACGTTTTTATCTATTGGAGTCGTCATTAAAATCTGCCACCTAGGCTTGCTTTTTTAGTCACGTGCAGCTGATTGTGTTATATTCTGTAGATGATGATGACGACTCTGTAGCTGACTTTCTCGATAGTGATGAGGAAGAAGACAGAGTTTCTTTGCAGAATTTAAAGAATTTAGGTAAGTCTATGCTGTGCTTGTTTAGAGCTATTAAATATTTCAGTGCGGAGCCCTTCCAGCCACATGATTCTGCAAACACACAGGGCTTCCACAGCTCCCAGCCTTGGCCTGGAATCCTACTGGTTTTGTGAGCTGGCAAAATTCTTCTCGTTTGGGGCTTAGTTCAAGTTTCCTTTTCTCAGCTAAACTTCTCTTGACCTTTTATCTCGCTTTCAGAATTAGGCACTTTTTCGGCTTCCTGTGGTGCCCTGTAATTCACCACTCACAGCACTTTGTAGCAGTCTCTCTCTCACACTAGTCAGGGGGTGCATTTATTCCCACGTTCCCAGTGCTCACGTTACACCCAGCCATTCATGCAGACTGGGTCATCCCAGGATTTGATTTTTCAGAGGGACACAGTATTAATACTGCCCAGCATTTTTGTAGGATTGCACTTCTGTTACGTGTATAATTAACGGGCCAGTGCACTTCCTACAGGTGGCACTGTTTTCATTCTTCCCATCTCCCAGAGGTGGTGCTTTGCACCCAGTCCTGTGGGAGTGATTAGTTAGTCAGAGGTAGGAGCTGAGCTGGGGATAGGTTTGAACAATTTTGTAACCTGTAAAGCACCATACAGACGTTAGTGTCAGTCCCCTGCTACTGAGCCTGCTTCATGCTGGAACATTTGCTGAAACACCATTCGGAGTGTTTGGTGTAACTGTCGTTACCACTGAGAACCTTTATACCTGTGAATAAAACATGCCAACAACTTAATGCTGTTGTTCTCTGTGTTTGTGCTGAAATGGCATGATTTACAAAGATACCAAGAACAAGAATCTGATAGTATTGGACTTGGAGATCACCCAATATGCTGACCTAATGTGTGGATTGAAAGGGTAAGGGGATGCAGCATCCTTGATGTGGATTACATTTGAAACATTTAGCTTTCAGCTGTCTCTGCCTGTTCCCCCCACCTTGAACTCAGCTTGGCTCTCTTCCCCTGTTCATC